TGTATATATATATTGGTATATATATTGGTATATATGATATATATATATATGGTGTCTATATAGATATGAGATACACACACACACGGGAAAAAAACAATCACACCCATATAGAAATGGACCAGTGTGCTTTCCCCTACATTCACAAATGGAGAAAATGTGACTTGTAGCAGTTATAGGATCTGGGCTCCTGTCCTCTGTAGCTGATTCTAGAAGGTTAGATGTATCTACCGATATGTGAGGTAGTTTCCTGCCTAGGATTTATTCCCTTGCCTGACAGTGAGTAACAGGGTTTTCAGACCACTGAGCACGCTTCTTGTTGCCTCTACAGTCACTGTTCTGCTTGCTTTCAGCTGGGCTGCTATTGGCATAGCTAGACAGATTTTTGGCTGTTATGATCAGATACCTTCAATTTTGATACGGAGGTGGAGAGTGGCTGGTCAAGTACCCAGTCTCCCACTGATTTCTCAAGGGGCCTTCTTGATCTCATTCCCTTCCTGTGATAATCCCTGTACCACTTATGTCTATACTTCTCTGGGTGAACATACTGCACAACCCTCTCTCGCCATGCAGGTCCTCTCTGGCTCTCCACCCGTGTCAGACTATCTACCCACATATAGCCCTCAAGCTCTGTGGTATGTGGGGCTTGCAGATCTCAGTAGCTTTTGACTGGCGGTGGAAGGGCTCCTGTGCTGACACTGAACTCTGCACCACCTCCCCGTTCTCCCTGATTTTCTTCTTCTCAAATAGTCTTTCTCGTACTTTCATGTTATCTCTTTTTTGTACACTTCAAACATGAAAGAAAACATATTTCTCGTTCTTTCATGTTATCTCTTTTTTGTACACTTCAAACATGAAAGAAAACGTATTTCTCGTTCTGAGTCTGGATTATTCCACTTACTATGATGATCTTATGTACAGAACCGGTAGTCTCACTGTTTTGTACATATTCTATTTCTTTGTATCCATGTATAGAGTCTAGACCAGTGATGATGAACCTTTTAGAGTTTTCAATGATACAAACAGTCCACTGCAGCACGAGGGCCCTAAGTTCACCACCTTCGGTCTAGAACATCTGTCAAATATTGACACTGGTTTTTTCATGGATGGAGGCATTGAGTGATTACTTTTCTTCAGAAGTTTTCTGTAACGCTTACTATTCTTTGATAAGTAATCATCATTTTATTAACAAAACACAAAATAATTACCCTATAAAAAAAGAAAGTAGATCAGTGGCAGGAGCATTCCCTGGAAAGGGTAAGAGAGGGAATCAGGACATCTGCAGCTGAGTGTGACGCTGGGAGCCAGTCACTGTGAAACTTCTCTGGGCCACCATTTCCTTATTGGTAAATGGGCAAATATAGAGATGGAATAAAATGAACTCGAAGATTTCTTTCAGTACTAACGTTTTATGACTTTAACTCCCATGCAATTTCTTAAGGAATTTTAAAATAAATTTACCATTTTATCAGTCAGTTATCTCAAATACAACTAGATTTAACATGCTCTTTCTTGTTAAAATTTTATAGCTTGATCACACTACAAACAACATAGTATATGATATCCTGGACAGTATCAAAATATTAAATAGCCACTTTACATCAATAATTAAAAAGAGGCAGTAATGAAAACACAACCACAGAAAGTCTTTGGCAACACTACATAATACTTCAAATGTTGAGTGGTAAGTATTTATGGAAGATGCTTCTTTGTTCTAGGTGGTTTCAAAATTCAGCGTGTGTGTGTCTTTAACCTTTAGAAGCCTCTGTAATCTATCAATTGGTTGTGCCTTGCATTATGCACGTCTTCTGATGTGAACAACTCCAAGCATGTATAATTTTCCATTAATTAAAAATTGACATTTATGTAGTTCAGCAATGGAGCAGTGTATCTCTATATACATTCTAATTTGTTGTTTGAACTTAATCTTCAAACCTGCATTTATATTGTTCAATTACATTTTAACAATGTCATTCTATTTATTTGTGCTGACTGTGTCAGTTAAATGACATCCACTATGCTGAGATGCTAATGAGATTTTGCAAACGTAAGCATGGATCCCAACTACTATGCTGTAGGTATTCTGTGACATGTAAATATTGTCACACTGAGTGTTTAAACAACTACTGAAATGTTATTATAATTTACAAAAACAACTTACCTTTGCAATTATTACTGACTGAACTGGGTAGCAAACAGTTGCTCCTAAAGTAGCCAGTCCTACTGGATAAGCAATTCTCTTAAACCTGGAACCTATAAAATTCAAAAACAGTATTGAACTCTAAGCAAATGCCTGCAGAGTTGATGCTGTTACACTGTAATGTTGTTTGTTCTTCAAGTCATTGCTCTCTGTTAAATTACTTTTCAGGTAAAAATAATCAAGACAGTACCTAAAATGCCCTTAATTATCTCACTTCAATCAATACCCCTCAGCTGTCATGTCTAATTTAACAAAGTATACTCAATCTATTGATGAAAAATTACCTACACAAAAGGAATTGATTTTCTTTTTTAAGCTAGGTATTTATATGCTTAGAAAATGAAAGTTGTAACTGCATTTTTCACAAGTATAGAACAAAGCATAATATAATCAACAACCATGGTTGTTAAAGTGAAATGGACCCCTTATATGTCTTTTTGATTAAGTATTCAGAAAGGTGAATGATCTATTAATCAGCTAAAGGCTTTAAAAGGTGCACAACTTATCACTGATTTCGAATGATGAAATGACAATTTTAAATGACTTAACATAATTAATGTATTTCAAAAACTGCTATAAAAAGGACCTAAGCACTCAAGTCATTTTCGTACCTTTTCTAAGAGCTCATAATATACCTTCATTTTGTAACTTGACAACTTTTAACTTGTGCTTCAAAAGTTTTAATTGGTGACTGCATTCTTTAAATACTCCTCTTATGTCCAAGACAAGGGAAGAATTTAGCCCTCGGTTAAAACAATAAAAACCAGGCCAGGCAGGGAGGCATGTGCATGTATCTGGAAGGCGACATGTATCTGGCTGCAAAGGCTACAAACCACACTCTGGGGCTACAGTTTAGCTGAGTCCTTCCTCCAGCATCCAAGCTTCTGACTTCTGTTCTCATTTCCAGACATTTTTGGGGAGCAAAATCTTTTCCAAAAAAATTCTTAATAGAATCTTATTTGGAACTTCAATATATATAACCTAAAAACATGAAGGTGCTCTGATTAACCTAGGGGCAAGAAACTCAGTTGTCTAGGCAGTTTCTCCCTTATTCCTCTGTGACCCTTAAAGATTAGTTTCACAGAACATTTGAATCTTAAATGTGTACCTGAATATATTAGACTCTGAAAATATGACTGGGCAATTAGATGATGCTTTTTTCAGTGGGGTAAGTACTTTGATTCTCTCAAACAGCTATTAGTACCCCTAATTTTAAAAGAAATCAACCTATCTGATACATCAACAAGGACTAACATGAAAAATACCTGGTCATGTTTGTAGGCAACTTTTCAGGTTAGGGAAGGTTAAACAATGGGGTATTTCTCTGTCCAATTTAACCATTATTAAGGGATACATTTACAATCATGTGTAATATAGATTTTTTGGGGGGGAGGTGGGTAAACAGGTTGATTCAACCTCTAATTTACCTTTCCTTTAGGTTTAGACTTTTTTATGGTGTGGGGAAATGGAGTCTAGGTTAATTAATATATGCCCTAACTCCTAATCCCTGGAATGAATTATCTGTTCTCTATTACTACAGTTTTAATGTCATCTAAATGGAATTATATATACAAGGTTTCTTTCAGTCAGATTCATCCATATTGTTGCATATGTCAATAGCTTATTGTTACTTTTTGTTACTAAGCAGTATTCCTTTGAATGGATGCGCACAATTTAGTTTACTCATTTATTTAATGAAGAATATCTAATTGGTGTCTGGTTGCCAGACATGGTGGCACAGCCTGTAATTCCAGAACTTGGAAGGCAGAGGCAGGAGGATTGTTGCGAGTTCAAGGCCAGCCTGGGCTACAAAGTGAGCTCAAGGCCAGCCTGAACTACATATCGAGACACCGTCTCAAAAAGACAAACAAAAATATAAACTGGTGTCAGGCTTTTTATGATGATAAATAGAGCTACTATAAATATTTTGTGCAGGTTTTTCATTTCTCTATGGTAAATACCCATAAACGACATCACTATGTTGCATAGTAAATATGTGTTGAACTTTATGAGACACTCTCAAAACTATTTTTTCAGAATGGCTATATCATTTTGCACTTTCACTAGCATTTGTGCAAGACTTCTAGTTCTGCACTATTAACTACACTTAGTACAGTCAGTTTTGTAAATTGTAGACATTTTAATAGGTGTGTCATGCTAACTTGTTTTCTTCTACATTTCTCTAATGAATAATGATGTCAAAAACGTTTTTACAAAATCTTTATAAATGTAAACTCTATGTACTAAAAAAGAATTAAAAATTTTTACAGGAACCTATCCTGATACTATTCAATAAATGCTACAAGGTTTTCTCATAAGTTACAATTTATAAATTAATATGATAGCGCTGAAAGAGAGAACATATTTTTAAAACCTACCTTTTCTTGCTGAAACCAAGCCTGCCAACCCTGAAATTGTAATCACTCCCAATTTTGGAAGAAAATCTCGAGGAGGATTCTTCAGATAGATATATGCATCTCAAAAAAAATCAGTTAAGAATTAATATAAATGACTCACTACAACTGAGAATTCTGTGTAAGTAGAGGTTACAAAGATGAGCTGTTAATAGTAGACAATAAGATAATAGTGGATGTCTTAAACACTCAAATGCTACACAAAATGATATGATCAACAACCTAAAATTAGTTACAACAATGACTTACTGAAAAAGAAAATCTCCTTTCCATTATTGATTTAATAATATTCATTTTCTTAATGGCAGGAATATTACTCTTTAATGAAATATATTAAAAGGTACAGCAATATGAATTATTATAAGGTAAATTTCTGATTGTGTATGTATTACATCCTCCAAATGAACATGCTTCTGCCCTTACCTGTTCAAGCATTAGTAGGACTCAACAGGAAATAAAATAGTTCATTAAGGAAATTTGCCTCTAGTCCTTCCTTGCCACTACCACCCAATAATTAGGATGAGAAATGAGCCTAGATAAATAAGCCTTTGCAGTTAAAAAAGACCTAGTGTAAGTCTAGGCACTGCGCCCTTGGGTAGCTCTGTGCCTAAGGTAAACCTACTCAACCTTACCAAACCTCAGTTCCCTCATCTATAGGGTGCAATCACTACAATTAGTACACAACACTCACAGAATTATGTAAAAAGCTAATTTTTTTTGTTTTAAAGAGAAAAGAAAAAAACAATAACAAAAAACAACAATGAAGACACAGACAAAACAGTAAAAGTAATAAAAACAATATGAGACTTGAAAACAGGATGACAGGAACTAACAATGTTTGTTATATTACATATTGTTATCTTCAATGAAGTTGCTCAGATTACCAGATGTAAGAATGCAAGATTGATCAAACAATTAAAGACAGTAACAAGTAATACAAAAAAACACTAGAAAAGATACAGAGCTTCATTAAACAAGATACTAGGAATTCAGCAATGGTTGTTATACTGCACATTATTGTCTTCAAATTAGTTGTTCCAATTACCAGACATAAGCATGCAAAATTGGTCAAGAGAAAAAAGAAGAAGAAAAATGTAAGCATTATCTGTTCCTTTCAATAAACCAATAGACATCAGCAATATACTTATCTCAGCTATCCTTGTATAAACATATATTTTTTCTCTTAATTTTAAAGAGAAAATATGAAAAACAAAGTAACAAAAGCAAAGGCACAAACAAGACAGCTTCAAAATAGCTACTCATATAACTAGATATACACAGGCAAGATTGATCAAAAAATTACACATGAACTGTTCCTTTCATCAAACCAGTACTAGTCAGTAGCACAATTACCCTAGCCATCCTGTGTAAATATACCTATTTTTCCCTTCCTTCTTTTTTTTGGCAAAAGCTAAATTAGACAAATTATCTAAGATGCTTTACAGAATGCCTTAACATACAATAATGAATAAATGCACGGTAAATAATACTGCTTTATTATTATCATCAGTGAACTACAGAGTATTCTCTAAGCCAGTAAAATCATGATAATGGATAATATACCATGTTTTTCTCACACTTAAGCACTGTAACGTAAAAATATAATAAAACATTTCTAATTACGGATGGTTCCCTCACCTTTTCCAAACTGTACTGTATCCATTATCCCATTTTTCACAAAGACATATGCACCCTAAGTAAAACACAAAGGGAGAAAAAAGGACATCTCCGTTATTGAAGCTATTGTTATTTAGATCAAATAGCCTATATCTCTAAGATTGTATTAAAAAGGTGACTTAGCATTATACTCAATCTAAATCCAGCTTTCATATGTACTCATTATGAGGACACTTGCTTAATTTAGCTTCTCTGCACTTTGCATTTCATTCTGTTTAACATGAATAATACCTGTTTACTATTATCTTTATAATACCTACAAAATAAACTAAGCAGTTGTTATGGTTGATATATTGTTTTAACTTGCCAAGTCTAGAGGTTTTGATAAGTGACACAGCAGTTTGGTATCTTGGGGTAAAAGAATGTTCTTATCCTTTTGGGACCTTGTTTACTGTGTTAATTTGAGAAGTTTAAAAGGTTAACTATGTGACTCAGAAGGGAGCCAGGATGTTTGTTTTGTATTTATCTTGCGCCTGTGTAAGAGGAGGGCATGGAGATTATGTGAGTGCTATTCCCCCCTGGGTGGGGGTAGCCTGTTTATAAGAAAAAAGAAAAAGAGAGGCTTGTTTTTTTTTGTTACATTTCTTTGGTGCTCTTGTTTTTGCTATCTTCCGCTCTTCCGCTGCCATAAACAGTTGCCCTCTGCCATGTGTTACTCTGCCTTATAACCAGCCAAGTATACACCAAAACCTCTACAAACTGTAAGCTAAATAAACCTTTCCTTCCTTCATTTTGGGCATTGGGTATTTTGTCTCAGCAAAAACAACAAAAAAGTAACCAAGACAGCAGTTCACAGAAAAACTATAAAGATTTATAACCTCATTTTATAATGACCAATAAAATGAATGGAATTTAAATTTCATGAAAAGCAAGTATATGTCAGCACAGAAGCAAAATCTGATTAGCAGAAATGCAATAGCAACAACATAGTGATATATGGAAAAAAACAAAAATGACAAAATTTATGAAAAAAGCTGCATCTTTTCCCTTTGTCTTTTTTATTTTGTCTTTTTGAGACAGGGTCTCACTATGCAGTTCAGGCAGGCCTTGAACTCATTTTGTAGCCCAGGCTGGCCTTGAACTCACAGTGATCCTTCTGCCTCAGCCTCCGGAGAGCTGGGATTACAGGCATGCACCACCACGTCCAGTTTTTTTCCCTTTGTCTTAGTGTGCATTCGAATGAGAAAAAAAAAATCCAAATAAGCATTTATCTCAGGATAGAAATCATTTCACACAGACTAATTTTTACCTTGTTTTCAAACAGAATCATCAATTTTCCATAAATCAAGTTTATAGTTATCTTTTGAAAGGATTAAAAGTTTGAAGCAAATCTTTCCTTTAACTTATTTTAGCTCATCTATTTTAATGAAAGACTGTTATGCATATTAACAGGTATTGTCTAACTTACCAAAAGAAAAATGACATCACAAAATGATTTATTCATAATCATGCTTATTCTGTGGAACCAGAAAATACAATCCAAATATATCGTTTCCCTTTCTGAACTAGATACTATGAAACTATGGAAAAAAAGAGATGTTCAAAGCATAAAAATAGAAATGATTATATTAAACAGGAAAGAAGTTATTGCTCTCCAGATATTCTGGTCTAGTCATTTTGTCTCAGCTTAATGGAGAACAGAAATGCAGAGGTTTATTGTTCATCCTGGCTTAGAACTATACAAACCAGAACAGGGCCTGCCTGCTACTAAGCTACTTCTCTTGAAAAACTGTCTTTTGATAACTTCACCTTCAGTGCGAAAACATTCATTGATCAGTTGACTGGAAATCTTTTAACCAGTATTCCTGGAGAAAAATCCTAGCTGTGTTAATCTGAACAACTACTTTGAAGATAACAATAAGTAATACAACAACCTCTGTTAATTTCCTATCATACTGTTCTGAAATTCTGTATCATTTTTTATAGTCTTTGTATCATTTTGTTTTTGTCTTTGTTATTTTCTGTTTTCGTTTTAAAATAGCAATTTAAAAATCCTAGCTGTGTTTAGGAATTCATTTTTACCACTAGGGGGCACTGTTACCCAACGAGTAGGAGTAAGAATTAAAATTGCCCTGCACGGTTCTAGATTTTGTGAAGAATGTAATTTGAGTGAGACATAATTTTTAAATAACAGATTATATTTTTAAATAAAAAGTTGTTTACACTGAAAATGCGATGTATTTGAAAGTGTCTTCTTCACTCTTGTTTCAGCATATTAATAGACTAATGTTCTTTCAGTCTTAAAATTGGTGACTCACATTAGCAAAGTAAGGATCTCTCAGAAACAGTTTACTTCACTGAAGACATGTCTGAGCTCTGAAAACTGTATGAGAAACTGGGTCTCAGGAGACTTACATCTGAATCATCTAGCTTATGGCATACAACCTTTAGAGCACTGTTTAGACAGTAATTGTAAGTTATTTCCTTCAGAGAATGTATTAAGCATGCAGAGTACAACTGGTACCATTAGAACACATAACAATCAGAAATTCTAAAAAATAACACTATGAATTCATCAGCTATTCAAAATATCATCTGGAATGACCAGATTGGACCAGTTAGGTATTTAACATAAGGATGATTTTTTTGTAAATTCATCAGAATTTTCTTTTTGAAAATAGTGTACTAGAAAGTAAAAAAGCTCAAGATTTCACAATGAGATAGGTTATATTTGGGAAAAGTATGATTATTAAGAGTGATAAAAATAGTCAAGTGTGGTGGCACACATCTGTAATCCCAGAACTGAGAAGGCTGAGGCAAGAGGATCCCCATGAGTTCAAGACCAGCCTGGACTACACAGCAAGGCCCTGTCTCAAGAAACAAACAAACAATAATAGTAGTAGCAATAGTACCATACTACCACTAAAATATTAACATTGGAGATGTTGATATTAATATGCCTATGTTTATGTGACAATAATGAAACCTAGTTGTTAAATCAGCTCACTCCATTACTCTGCTACTGGGCATTGCTGCCTGAAAGCTAAGCAAAAATATGGAAAATTCTACTTTGCCCAATAGCTCGCTGCCATTAGAATGGTCTTATGATCTAATCTCAACATTTTGCTTAGACAAACATGGAACAATTCGTAAGTAATTTCAAAACTTCACGTAGAAGGTAAAAAATGTGTTGAGCATAGTAATATCTTGGTTCATGAATACTTCTGTTCACAAACAATTCAGTTCACAAACAGAAGCCGGAGGCAAAACTTTGCTTCCATTCAGGAACTTCATACTGGGTGAGGAACAAAACCGTGACTATCCTCCCTGCGTGAACACAAACACAACCAACTTCCCCAGAACTGTGGAACAAACTAAGTTTGTGAACTGAGGTACCACTGTACATGCTCGGTGATATAAATGCTTGTTGAACTATAATCTATGTGATAGTGTTATGATAGATTAAATGTGGGTATAGATGCTTTGCTACTGCCCCTATTGAGAGAGGTGGCATTTCATTCTCCCTTTAAAATTGAGTTGGCTTGAGGGATTTGATTTTCCACAAGAATGCTGTAGAAGAAACTTTTCTGAACATCTGAGGATAGGTAAGTAGCTTAGAAAATTCTGCTAAAAGCCTCTTATAACACTGTCTTAAGGAGTCCTGAACTGCTCATGTAAGTAATCTACCTTGAGGTCCTTGTGCCCGAGAGAACATGTATTGTTCCTTCAGCCAACGATCCCAACTGAGTCCAGCCTTCCATTTATCCTTGCAAAGGTGCCAGAGACACAAATGAAGTTTGTTTTCTAAATCAGCTCATTTGCCAAAGGAGTATCGCTGTGCCCTCTGTCAGTACCACATGGCAACAGAAAAATCAGCTGTCTATACTCAGATTGAATTCCTGACCCATAAAATAATAAGACAAAAATAAAATGATGCTGTTTTAAACCACTAAGCTTTATGGTAGCTTTTATATATCAAAAGGTAACTTAAACAAACAGAAGCCTCTGGTATTAAGCCACTATCAGAATATACTTACCTTGCACCAGCCAATATAACAACCAGTTGTAGTGCGGATGGATGCAAAGCCCATTTGTAAATAACCAGGCTGCTCTTCAACATATTTAGACTGAAGAGGTGGCACGGTATATATGGGGAGCTAGAGGCAAAAAAAAAATTCACGTCAAAAACAAATAGCTGGACTGCCTTTTCCAGCAGTGTGGCAAAACAGTAATCTTCATCAACCTTCCTCCTAAAAACAATACTAATAATAAACTTAAAATCTACCTTAAATATTTAATAGAAACAAATATAAACATAATGACAGGAAAATTTTAATCCACTAAGGACTTATTTACTTTTAAAAAGTGAAAAAAAAATTTTCTTGTTCAAAGTGTAGTACTTTTCTGTTGAGTTTGGTGAGGACGTAATTGAGGAGAATCAAGTTTACAAATCAGCAACAAGGGCATTCTACCAAGAACATGAAATAAGAATATTGTATGTTGTATTTTTTTAAAATGCTGAGAGTGTATGCAATATACTCTCACCCCCAAAATGATAACTATGTGAGGTATTATATAGATTAACTAGCTAGATTTAGTCCTTCCACAATGTACATATACTTTAAAACATGTTGTAAAAGGTAAATACATATAATTTTATCTGTCAATTTAAAAATTTTTTAAATGGAAAATCTAGTCTAAAAAATCTATTTTAGGAGTTGGTTGAACAAGTTTTATTTTACTGTGAAATTACCCTTTGCTACTCACAACGGTATCAGAGTTAATGTTTGTCTCTGGACAAATGCTTGAATTTAGATTCACCAAACTGGCAGATATATGTAAGTAGGAAGGCCGGAAATGCATACTTTATATGAAAGGTACCTTCTATATATAAAAACTAGATACACTACAGTTAGTAATATTTTCCACCTCTCTAGAAAGGCAGCCTATATTCTGATGTACTGGTATTAAGAGTGAGCAAAATTACTTACTTGTTTGTCCATTATTCCCCCAACCTGCCTGCTCTTTCCACTCTCCAGTTCCAAACTTTATGAATCATTGCGTTACTACACCCACTGAAATCTGCCAATTATTAATTTACTGCCTAGTATACATAGGATTAACAATTTACTACTTGTGGCCTATAGTATGTAAAATTTTGTAAATGCATTTTCAAAGGAAGGGCACCTGAAGTCTCATCAGACTCTCAAAGGATTCAGAATCAGTGTTTTCAAGTATTTTCCTTCACAGTTAAAAGGTCTGTGAAAAACAACTTCAGCTCTATTGTGCGAATTTTAAGAATCAACCATGAGATGGTAGTAAGACGTGACTAGTCTCCACTAAGAGCACATTCACACTACGGATTGGAAGCCTTGGGCTTCAATACCACTTACTATATTCATATAATTTGTTTGTACTCAGAAATTATGAGTACACTCAGAAAGCTATAAAACCACACTTATTTCTTGGTGAAAACAAGCAAATGACAAGAAAATATGCCCAGACAGATTTAGCAAAGAAATGTCTATGGCTAGCTGTATGTATGCACCCCAATTACCAATCTATTGATCTGAATACTGGAAGCTTCATGGTTTAAAAAAATGATTACCTCATGGTTCTGTACAGTTTTCTACTAAAAGGAGACTGAATTATATTTACTGCATGAAACTTAGTCAAGATCATAGGGGTATTCTTAAAAGTATGTTTAATGAGAAGAATGGAACTTTATAGTTAGCTACAAGCTTACCAAAAGATTCAGATAACCAGAACATTTCATTCAAAAAGTATTCTGGTTTAGTAGAGGTTTTACTATAAATAGGTTAAAACAGACGTACAGCTCATTTTACACAACAGAAGTAACTAGAAATACTGCCATGCAAATCATAACTCTCTCCCTTTAGAAATTCTAAATTCTTCAAGATTAGATCCTGACTTGGTGAATAGTCCCTAGCACATAGTTAGCAACCAACATTATTCACTAAGTAAATTCATATTAAACTGTACTGAAGAATGCAATAAATATTAAGGACTCCTGTATATACCATAATATTGTACAAATGCACTACTTTGTTTTATAATACAGAAACATGTGAGCGCAGCTATTAGGGACAAATCCCAGCTTCTTATAATACTACTGAGATTTCTGAGCTCCCCAACTATGGGAGCATCAAAGAAAGTTTAAATGATTATCTTTTTGAGAATAATGAAGACAGAAAGTGTATAGTGAAGTGAATCTACCCTCTATTGCTAACAAAAATTAATAAAATCATACACACTGCTTAAAAGAGTGCCTTATACCCACAAAAGAGGAGGTCAGGAAATGTTTTTTGTTTGATGCATGAATAACATGTTTTTTGCATGTTAATATATCAAAAAATTAATTTTTGTGCCTTCTTACCTATAATTCAGCTTTTAGAAATTCATACTGGAAAAAGTTATAGGTGTATACAAAGATTTTCATAAAAGGTAATTCAACAAGCACTGATTGTAATAGCAAAATAATTAAAAATACTCTATCTAAAAATATTATGAAGGTGGTACATTTAATTATACAACAGAATTATATGCTTATGTCAATATTAGGAATTCTGCCCAATGTGTTCCAACTAGTGCGCGATGGAGTCAGAGTTCAGATTCAGGCCCATCTAATTTATAAATGCATTGCTAAATATATAGATAGATCTTAAACATGAATTGAAACTGGAAGACATAAGTAGCACAAAGGTGAACATAATCAGCAATCACAATTACATCTCAACAGGCTGGGACAATAGGCCAGATCAATGTCATTCACTCATTCATTTATTGAGACAGAGGGGCTGGGGATTTAGCTCAGTGGCACAGCGCCTGCCTGACAAGCATGAGGTCATGAGTTTGATTCCCATTACTGGGGAAAAAAAAAAAAAAAAACAACCATTTCTTGAGACAGAGTCTCTGTATTTCAGGCTAGCTTTACACTCATTATGTAGCCCAGGCTGGCCTTGAACCTGTGGTGATCCTCTTGCCTTAGCTTTCTGAGTGTAGGGATTGCAGGCATGGGCCACCATGCCCGATTCAATAAGAAAATTAAACAGGCATAATATACCTGCAACTGAAGCCAAAAGTTGAAAGGCATAAATACAGATCCAAAAGAATCACATGTTACCAGTTAACCAAGTTCACTATGACATGGCCAAAGGCTGTTATGAGCATGGTTGATATTGAGCACTCCAAACAAAAATAAACATAAAACCTACTGTGATCTTAGGCAGCATTAGAAATATATCTAGGTTAGAAGAGTCCGACATCCTGCAGTAGGCAAATACTTATACTGTACCTGAAGAAAACGTTAATCATCCTGAACAAATGCGACAGACAGTAATCACAACAGTGAAGTAACTCAAAAGCTATGATATGAGGAATGATTAAAAAACTAAGTAATAGGTTTCTCCAAGAAGTAAAATTATTTTGAAGTATAACTGACATCTGAAGCACTGATTTTTGGAAGAGAAATAAGAACTTTTCTGTCAACACCAATTCAAGAGATACAGCAACACTGGGTAGCAGTTATGATGAGGTAGATTTGTGTTTCACATAAGGAAGAACTTTAAATTGAATGACAACTTCCAGAAAATTCAGTGAACTCCTCACCACACAGAAGGCTGAACATATATGGTCACTTCCAAAACTGAAATGTTACACAATGATTTTCTCAATGTGAGGCACCTCATACTGGGAGTATTTATATAAATTTTTTAGGAAAAAGTCAAGACTACTTAAAAGGTCTAATATCGGATACTATTTATTGATTATTCATTAAGAAAAATTACAATTGTTCTTCACTGAAGTTAGCGTTTTATTTTGGCATATTTTATAACTATTTCTTTTAACGTAAAATGTATCTAACAGATACTTCAAAAATATTTTAATAGAGGCAACTACATAAAACAAAACACAAAACAACACATCCACAGTTTTACATTATCTTTACATTATACAAAGTTCATAAACTTTTATAAAAAAAATACCTGCTCTGGTCTCACTAGCTGCTTTTTGGATTCCTCTTCTTTGGTCAGATGTACACTTACAGATGCATATATCACACCCACAGGCACGCTGCTCAGCTTTCCTATCTGAGAAGGAGATACCAACAAAGACCCTTTTAATTTAAAAACTTCACAGCTTGTATTTGCTGATAAATTCTGAGGCATCTCAGGAACATTACTGTTGCCTCTAAAAATATTAAGTACAAAACACTCCAAATAATACCATATTTTTAATGTATAGCTTCTACAATTTTCTTCTCTTATTTGATGGCACAGTATATTGTCTGTTAATACACCTAGCCACAAAACAACTAGCATGAGTGATATCTTTATATAATACTAGAACAATGTAATAATTACAAGAACTGCAGTAAAGAAATACGATTGGCCATGGTACTCATGCAATCCATAAGTAATCAAACACCTACTGTGAGCAAGATCTTGGTCTCAGTCCTCAGAGTACAAAAGTGAACAAAATAAACATTCCCACTACCATAAAACTGACGTACTACATACTAGTGGAGATTAGGCAAGTAATAAAGCTGATAAATGCTATGCAAAAAGTGGAGGGTAAGTAAAGAACAAGGTTAGTGAACTAGGTGATGTAGGGTGTATTTTGCAATACTATCCTATTTACATTATTTACAGAAATAACTTCCTTCCCTTACATTGTATGCAGGCTATCTGCCACCAGGTGGGTGTAGCACTCAATCTCCCCGGCCTCCTCTTACACAGGATGAGGATGTTTACAAAGTGAGGGCCCTGGCCCCCTCCTCAGTCCCTTAAACTTCTAAACTTATCAAGTTGACAAAATATATCAACCATTACAGACTCTTATGAGCTAAAAATAAGCAGTTTCTCAACTCCAGTGTGCTTATCATTACCATTCTTGCAAGAGTACAAATCAGAACTTTGCTTTCACTGCCTCTTGGGTCCAATTTGGATCTCAACAAGTAAATTCATTTCTTTTGCAATCAGGGGCTCCCCCGGGGAATTCTGTGCCTGTGTGGTAATGGGTCCTTGTGGAGAGGGAGATGGATTCCACCGCATCTTTGGGTAGCCCGCTTTATCCAGGACTTTTCATCTGCACATAGAAGCCATAGAACACCTGAGATTGTTGTTCTGAAGAACAGCAAAACCAATGCAGGAGAGACAGAACAGACACTTGTGATGATCAAATAACCTCTTGCATAAGTCAAAACAGTTAGGACTATAAACACCGCCTCTTAAAGGTGTAAGAAAGCTGTTCCTAGAGTACACATAAAACCTCCACTGGAGATTACAGAAAGTCAAACAACCAAAAATAGCAAGAGACCAGCCAAGAATAACACGCATTGTAAGTCTTAGAAAACAAAGACAAGAAAAAGACATTTTAAGCGCTGGGGATATGGCTCAGTGTCACAGGGCCTGCCTGGCAAACACAAGGTCTTGAGTTTGATTCCAAGTACAAAAAAAAAAACCAAACAAACAAACAAAAACACACAAGAAAAAGAAATTCTTCCTGGAACTTTGCCGAAGATAAATGCCATTTCCTGAATTTCTAAGAGCCCACTGTTACAAATCTTAGCTAATTGATGAATTTAACTTTGGCTTTCAATTTAGGTTGGTGTTTTTGTTTAATTAATATTCTTATAACATATTTCGTGCTTTGTAACTTCTTAAACTCCAACTATGGGGTCAGTCTTTTTGCTGCTGCTTCAGTATAAACGAGGTCACTATGGAATATTTATTGGCTGCCAATGGAGGCTTGACAGCAGTCGGCCAAACGTACAGTGTGACAAACTGGGAACACGCATGGCTGCAGGCAATTTGTTAATTAAAAAAGAATAAACAAGGACAGAGAAGAATATATAGCAAAAAGCTTTAAGCATGAGAGATGTATTTTGATATGAAAAGATTTTCTATGATAAAATTCTTGCCCTATCAGAAAGAAACAGGAACAAATAGTGGCAAGATTTGTATGACAGGCACCTTGAAGAAGGTGTTGAACCTCTTTTCAAGATTTAGAATGATTAAAAGAAATAGGAATAACACACATTGAGTGGTACCTAATGTCACAACTAAGCTGACTGCATGTCCATAGGGCCTGTTGATGTTTGCTGAGCCAATTGAAAGTTGTTTCAAGTGTGTCAAGACTTTATAGAATTTTTCATCAGTATTCGTTTGCGTCAGTAATTCTGAGGTGACATTTTGAAAATAACCATACACAGTCTGAGCAGTCTGGCTAGAATGAGTCGAAGTGACCACTGCAGTTGCTGCTGTGGCAGCCAATGTCATAACTGCACTAACAGCTGAAATTAGAATGCCCAGGAAATGTTTTTGTCTACTGTGTTGAAGTGCTTAGGTAATTTATTCAAGAGCATAATTTCCCACCCACTGTTGAATGAGATTGGTGCAGAACCATGCTTCAGTTCATCTGAGTATCATAATATGTTTATTGTTCAGTTAGGAAACATTTGTGACAAGGTGTTAACCAGGTGGCGCTAGCAGACAAGGAGATATTCAGTTCTGTAGAGGGTCTATAATGATGATTATTGGAACTATACTGAGTTATCTTGGGTTCTTCATTAAGGAAGACTAAAATATATGGACAAATATAAACCATCACATGGTCAGAAGTACCACGAGCAGTCCATCTAGGCATAGCTATGTATTGGTAATTATCAATTCTAATAATATGAGGGATGACGGGAATAGCTAGGTGCCAGAACTTTTTTTGGTATAGGAACAATAGTCTGGGCCTGTCCTTTGTGAGAATAAAATGTAAAATGTTTTTCTGCTGTGGCGACACCTTCTGAATCACACTTTGAACATTTAAAATAAATAGTGCTTTAGATGCTTGTTCTTGTGACAGGAGCTTCTCCACATTCCCCCTTTTTGTTTTAATAATTGAGTTTTAAGGAGCCCAGTAGCTTGTTTTACCACTGCTTGACTTGCAAGATTGTAACGTATACCAAGCATATCTTTATCCCCGAGTTGAAAGAGTGCCCAAGGACAATTGGGACTACATATGGGGTATTAGCAGTTTTAATTTGTGAAGGCAATGCTATTACAGACAAACATGAGAGTAAATGACATTTAATGTGCTTTACAGTTTCACCTGATTTTATTACTTCCATTACATATTTAGTTATACACTCTCTAATCCATTCAGTATCTCTTTGAGCTGTTTTCTAACCTTCTCTGCTATGCCTTTAAGTAACAGCTGTGTGGCTTATACATACTATTCTGCCCCTTCCAGTGGCTTTGAGGGAGTTGGGGGTTTGGGAGGCATTTTGTTACCTTTTATCCCCATGTTTCTATTGTTCTTGTTTGCTTGTTTTGTTTTGTACTGAGGTCTGTAGATGATTAGAGTCTAAAGACTCTGTTACTAGTAGTACAGAGATCCCTTTAGTTGTTTTTCAGTGATGTATTTTTGGCGTGGCTAACTATAATCCTTTGCCACAGCCCCAAGAATCAACCACTTTGGTCATTTTGGGAAAGGAGAATGTAGCGTAGTTAGTCCAGCCACCAAGATCTCTGGTGGTGTACTCCAATACTGCTGATATCACAAAGGCAACCTGAGTGTTGTTTTACGGAGAAATAGTGACAGTTATGTGCCCCTGTTAACATCAAGTGAAACAGCTACAGTAGTATTTTCTGAGGCAAATTAGATATTAACATACCTAAGAACTAGTTATATATCACCCTTATTCCTAAAGAAGAAACTATTCATTATGAAGTAAGCATTTAGGCAAGCCAGGGACTGACTTACAGCTAATATGTACTAAATCTAACATCTATATCTCTGCTAACAGTATAAAACAGTTCAACAGTAATTTTACAGAGTTAAAACAAAAGATTAACAGAGCTTTGTGGTTATACTATAAGAGATTTTGGGTTAGGGAATGAGAGGCGTGCTTTACTCCACAAAGACCATCCAGAGGGAAATGGTTTCCTTGGGTTTTACACAAATGAATTTTGAAAGACCCACAAAAAAACCATGGCCAGAGAATTCTAGAAGTTCTCCCAAAATAGTGACAGTGCTGTACTCCACTTTGAACAGTTTTCCACATATTCTGGGTAGTACTTAGTAATGGAAGCTATACAGGCACAAGTTAAATAATTTTACACCTAAATTGAGCATTATTTTAAATTAGATTCATACTCCAGTAATATAGGGTAAAATGCAGACTCAATACAAACAAGAGAAATTTTGTTTACTTTTTTTGCTCTTTTACACATCCTTCTAGTGTATGTGAAAGCATCACAAAATGATTTATGTAGGCCTGTCTTCCCCAAAAGGTATCACTTTTGATTTCCTATACTGACATGGTATTCCTAATAAAATAACATTTCCACTCCAGACCTATGTCAGGTATCAATTAAAACTATTAAAACTGCTAACCTGCCTCATGCCACAAGATGAGGCGGTGGAGGTGATGTGGACATAGGGAATGGAAAAGGAGCGGGATCTAATTTAGATAGCAAAACAGTGATCAGAGCACTCAGCTGCATTAGTACCCAGGCTGGCAGTGCAACTGGGCAGTGAGTGCTTAAGGGGGGTCTGGAACATGATCTGCCACTGCTGCACAAATTCAAACGTTGGGAGGCAGCTTAAGCCCTTCTGTTAAGGGGCAACCACTGCATGCTCACCCTCCCCCATCCTCTAAGCACGCCCTTTCTCACTGTGTGCTGCTCACTAGCCATACAAAACAAAAAGCTGCATCTAGTATCCAAAGACCTTAATCTGGTTTCATGTACCCAACCCCCAACGCTCCACATTCCCCCACCCTTGCAGCTGGGGAATAAACCAGCCATAGAGGATGGAGCTTATTGACACAAAGAGCTTAACAACTCTCAGAATTTAACAAGATGGTCTCAATAACAGTGGCAAAGGGGAGGGCCTTCCCACCCCCGTGGCTGCATGCAGTTTGACGGTCAGGAGAAGCCACATAGTTTGGACTCCTGGGACACAGGTAACCAGAATAGTTCCTTCTTTCACCGCAGCCACACCTATGCAAATGCAACCACTTCAGTGATTCCCATACCACCCATTCTTTGTCCACGTTTCTGAGACCTGGACTAAGGCAAAGATGTCAAGCAGA